TATGTTCACCTAAAGTAACCCAAGGGCTGATACTCAAGATATGTAAAAATAAACACCAAAGGCAGGCAGCAGCCTTTTTGTTCAAGCCCTTGTTTTGCTTGCATTGAGTGTTTGTGTGTCCTTGTCTGCGGACAGCGCCAGTGAGTCCTTCCTAACAGCTGATCATATGTGTGAGAGCAGGACCTGGCCTCTGCACAGACATCTCCTACAGTCCAGAGAAGAACATCCTGCCAGGCAATTTCAGTCATTAGTCACCAGACAACTTTGTGTCTCTTTTGCACAGGTATAAATCCACTTGCCTGTTGTTCTTTGGGTCCTTTACCAGACAGGCACAAGGGCCTCCATCTGACCCAGCTCTAGTCTCTTATTTGTTTTTCCCTCACTTCTGCCTCCATTCCTCCCCAGGTACACCAAGAGACCAGTCGGTCCACAGGCACACATACCAGCATGCCACATTAGCTCAGGATGCTGAACTGTGGGTAGCTCTTTCCAGCACTCTCAGTTTTGTTCTTCTTAGAGCCTTGAGAATCCCAAAGATATGCCAAAATGCCCTGCACCTTATAAGGCTTAATTATTTTGCTAAATTTAGTATTTCATTAAATTAAATTATACCACTGTGGGAGAAATAACATATTGCATGTTTAGGGCTTAAACTACAAAAATAGGCATTTATAGCCATTTTTCTGACCATATCCTAAATTCACACTTTTAATAATTAAGGCTACTCTAGGCATGTAACCCCCACAAATTTTAGGGGTCCACTATAATGTCCATCAACAGATGAATAGGTAAATAAAATACAATATTTGAGGCATTCTTAGGCAAATAAATGCAACTTGAGAACATAATATTAAATTAAATAAACCAGACATACAGGTTTATGTATCACATGGCTTTTCTTACCTGACAAACTATCTACTATTGAGAATGACAGAAGGAGAGCCAACAGAAGACATCAATAGGAAGTAGGAAATGTTCAAATAATTCTGTAAATCATTCTGTTGCTTCAAAATATTTTAAGATAATCATTGATTTTTGGTGGAAGACAACCCAATTTTTATTAGATGAGAAAAGGTTTTGCAAAACATCTCTCTAAAATGATAGAGAAATAAGAACACAACAAGATTCTCATCATCAATAGTCATTAAGGAAAGCCCAAAGAAGATATTACTTCATATTTTCCAGAACAGTTACAATTTTCTAAAAAAAAATCCAAATGTTGATGAAGATATGGAGAAATGGGAAAACGTACATACTAATGGCAGAAAGACAACATGGTACAACTTTGGAAAATAGTGTCATGATTCCTTAAAGGTTAAACATGGAATTAATAATTAAACTCAGTTTATAAGCAATAGAATTGAAAATATATGCTTACACAAACTTGTGCACGGATATTCTTTGCTACATTATTCATAATAGCCATATAATGGGAACAATCCAGTGTCCTTACTCAATTCAACAATAACCCACAGCCGTCCGTCGGGCTAACTCCAGTGTCCTTAAGTGAATGAATGATTAAATAAAATTTGTTGGTCTATGCAATAGACTATTATTCAATTATAAAAAGGAAAAAATAAATACATATTACAACATGGAAAAAGCTTGAAAGCATGCTACATGAAAAAAATAGATACTACAAAAGACCCCATATTATTGTATGATTGCATTTGTATGAAATATCCAAGAAAATTCACACTTATGGACAAAAAATAAATTGCTGCATGCCTGGGTGTTATGTGAGAGCAGTGATTAACGAACTGCTGCAAAAGGTCATATTGAAATGATAAAAGTGGCCTACATCTAAGTTAGGGTAATGATCACAGGACTTAATAAAGTTACTAAAAATCTTTGAATAAATTGCATAGTATGAAAATTATGCCTCAATACAATTGTCAAAAGAAAAAAAAGTGAGAACCAACTTTGGAGGAATATGTGTATGAGAGAGACTAAGTACCCTGGGGATGCTGAAATTCCATTATGAGGCATTGTGTGGCTGTAGACAAATCCTTCCCAGGAGAGGAAGCTGAAAGAGCCTGAAGGGTTCAACTTCATGGAGCCTAGAAGAGAATAAGTGAGAAAAATGTGGTTAAATTAGTAACATAAAATTGTCACTAAAGACCTCTCAGATATAGCTCATTCTAACGCTGTGCTAAGTAATCTTCACTGCCAACTTGACTGAAATAAGAATCTGCTGGGAAGGAGAATGGATTGGGATGACAGTCACTTCATCCACGGGTTGAGCACTGATGCTGGAAGAGGATGTGCTGTGGAGCTGAGCAGCCTCTAGAGTTGCCCATTTGTCCTACCTATGTGTACTACTAGTGTCTTTTGTTCATTGAAAAGAAAACTTCGCCTTTTTGCTTCCTCTTTGCAAGAGAAGCACTTTTCCTCCCTGATTTGTACTCCAGCTTAGGAGCCATTTTTAAAGATCATATTCCATCCTGTATTAAACATTATTATTATGCTATGAAATTATTCTTATAGAACATTATCTAGTGTACAAATAGCATTCTTTTGAATCCATTTATGATGTTTCTTTTCTTTCTTTTTTTTTTTTTTTTGTATTTTAGGGAAGTGTCTGTAGGTTGTTCAGGGTCTCACTACTAGATCAGACTGGTAGTGATCTGCCTGTTTACAGCCTCCTAAAATCTGGGATTACAGGCATGCCACCATGCCCAGTCCAATTGCCATCTCAGCACGCCCCAGGGGTGAGGCCAGCATAGGAGGCCCAGGGATCAAGGCCCTGGGCCCTGGGCCTGCTTGCAGTCACTTTAATCTGCTGAGCTATTTGGCTGGTGCTCCATTTATGTGTTTTCAATTGAAATGTTATCATAAAGAGAACAGGTACATAATTTTTGTTGGTGTTTTAACATTTTAGATGAATATAGGTTATATCCTACAACTAACCTCTGATGTTCATGTAAATGACTTTTATAAAGTAAATTATACAGCTAGCCACTATTCCCAGGAATAGTTACCTTTTTTTCTTTACCTCCTCCTCCTCCTTTTTCCTTATTTTCCTGCTTCCCATCTTTTCTTTCTTCTTCTTTTTTAAATTTTTTAAAGTTTTTAGTACAGGGTCTACAGGGTCTTACTACGTAGATTATACTTGTAGTGATTCTCCTGTTTTCATCCTCCCAAGAGCTGGGGTTACAGGCACGCACCACCATGCCCACTCTCAACGGCTGTCTCAGCATGCCCCAGTGGCAGGGCTGGCACGGTGTGCTGGGAATCAAACACTGGCCACTGAGTTCTGCCTAAAGCAGTGCTTTAGTCCTCAGAACTATCTGGCCAGCACTTTTTTTCTTCTTGTAAATAATTCAAGCAGCCATCTATAAGAAGCCAAAGCATCATCGCTTGGGGTCATTTGAAGGTAATATGGCTCCTCAACTAATATTTTCTCAAAAATCATGGGTCAAAATGAAGTAACTTAGAGACAACTGTATTATGGTAAACTGTGTTCAAATGTAAGTTGTCCCCTTCCCATATAAATATGTAAAACAATATAGTTGTATTATCATCTCTCTATATAATAAAACAGCATAAATACATGATATTGTAGTTTAGCTTGACACAAATTTTCAAAACAGAGGTCATCATAACATTTTCGTTTCATACAATGTCTTCACACATGCAGAAACTGAGGCTAAGGAATTCCTTAAATATTCAAACTTGACTTGATTACCAAATCTTTTCTATAGTATGGATATATGATTTAAGCATAGTAAAAGTTAAGATTTTGCCCTCCTATTATTTGGATATAATCTTAAGTTTTCCATTCTACCAACTTGTGTCTGCAGATGAGTTTTAAAACCTTGCAGTGGGCAGGGGAGACAGCATTGCGGTCTAAGTGGCTGCCTGGCAAGTGCAAGCATTCCTTGGCACCAAATGCCATGCCACCCCTGAAGCCCAGGCATGCCACACTTGGCCACCAAAACCAGGAGCGGTGGCATATACCTGTAAGACCCTGTACCAAATAAATAAATAAAAATTTAAAACTGGCAGTAAGTCAAATTGTACTTCTTGCTTCTCAGTCTTGTAACCTATTGTTTTTATATGCTCAATGCAATGCTTGTTTGAAAAACTTTTTTCTTTCAGTAGACTACAAAGCACTGTGTAAAGTAACTATATATATGCTCACCAATTTTCCATACAGGACTAGATGTATTTAAACCTTCATTCACAAAGTCAGATCTCAAACACTTCTGTATTGACTATAAAAATGTGTACAAATATTACACAGATTACTTTTCAATTTTGAGTATCTATGCATAAATATATCTATATATTTCATATTCAGTAAGTCTATTTTGATACTGAACAATCTTTTAGCTATTGACCACAACTCTACATCCAAGCACTGCATGTTGGTTTCATGAGTTGTAAGGAAATTAAGGTGATTTAGACTGACAGGAAAAGCTGCCTCGAGTCATGGTAGATGGTTGCCCTTCAACTCAGGAAACTCACTTAAGCCGAGGTGTTCTCCATTACCCTCTGCTGGCCTCTGTCTGGTACCCATAAAATAATTACTGTGCAAATGGAAATTATTAGGACACTATCCTTACAGCAGATGCTTGAACCATATCCTGCTTGGGCTTGTTTCTTCTGAGTTTGATTCATCAAAGTTGCAGCAGCTCCTCTCAGTTCTGTCCCTATTTGTTTCAATTCTTTATTTTGGCACTACTTGCACAGGTTGGTTCTGGGGAACACTGGTGACAGGGTCCAAACTCAGACCACTCAGTAGTTTTAGAAAGGCCTGGGAGAAACAGGAAAATGAAAATTGCTTTCAGATATTACAAATCTGCCACAGGTTCTGGTGGGAAAACTAGCAATGAATGCACCATTCTAGGTCTTATTACTCATCCCTGGGGTCAGTGTTCTACTTATTCTTTAATCAATCCCTGCTACTTTGCAAAGTACTTTGGAAATGCTTTCACTTAAGTATGGGAAACAGTGATGGTCACACAAACCTTTCACTCATTTCTTTTTCTCCTTAGGGATGCAGATCTGTTCCTGTTGGATACGAGGAAAGCCCAAGCTATAGATGTGGGTTGGCTTGTCTTTGATATCACTGTCACGAGCAATCACTGGGTGATTAATCCACAGAACAATTTGGGCTTGCAGCTCTGTGCAGAAACTGGGGATGGTAAGCACTGGGTCTCATGTATTTTTTTTGTGGGACTTGTTTTCTTAATGGAGAATAAATTCATAACAAGATTGTAGGAGAATTACAATAGCTACTAGATTGCATATTGTTATCTTCAAAGTAGTTACTCAGAGTCCAAGATGCGAACATAAGAAATTCTCCAAATGATATCAGCAAACGTTCCTTTTCAGTGGACTGAGTAGTACAGCTACCTTGTATTTGCTTTTCTTCCTTTCCTCTTTTTACCACACTGATTCCTTTTTTCTTTCAAACAATTTCTTCCCATTTCACAATATTTATTGTATATTTTAGGCCTTCTTTACTCTAAATTGCTCATTCCAGGCAGACAAAGTGATGTTTCCCCTTGTGAGTCTATTTCCCTCTCAAGTTTTGCATGCATTTGCATCCTTGTTGCTTTTGCAGTCTAGGTCTTCTGTTTCCAACATCTCAAGTTGCATCCATGTACCCAGAAATGTCTAGGTTTATCTTTTGTTATGACTGAACGGTATTCTACTGTAGTGAAAACAACATATCTTTTTCACCCATTCCTCCATCTATGGGTATTTGGGTTATTTCCAAGATTTAGATATTTCAATTGTGCTGCTATAAACATGGGTGCACATATATTGCTGTTGTACATTTTCTTCCTTATTCTTCTGGGAAGATACCCAGACAGAAAATAACTGGGCTTTATGGAACCTCTAATCCTTGTTTTTTGAGGAATCTTCACACTTATGTCCACAGTGGTTGCAGCAATCTACACTCTCTGCTACCCTGGAGAAGGGTCACTTTTCCCTGCAGCCTTTCTATCATTTGTTGTTGGTTAATTTTTTGATTATAGCCATTATTTCTAGAATGAGATGGAATCTCAATGTTCTTTTAATTGACATCTCTCAAATAACCAGTGATGTTGAACTTTTTTCTTCTGTATGTGTTTCTTTATCTGAGAAGTATGTACTTATGTCAGAAGCCGACTTTAGGATTGAGTGTTTGAACACAGGGCCTAATGGTTTTCAGTTCCTTAAATGTTCTAGATATAACTCCATTGTCAGAGGGAAAACTGGTTAAAATTTTTTTCCCACTCTGAGATTTGTCTTTTTACTGTATTGGTGATTTTTTTTCCTATGCAAAAACATTTTAATAGGGTGAGATATCAGTTATTGATTTTGTACCATTTCTAGTACATGAGGTTTTGTGCATGAAATCTTTGCCTATACCTGTGGCTTCAAGTGTTCTGCTTATTCTCTTTCCCAACATATTTAGTGTTTCTCTTTTAATATTTAGATCTTTGAGGCATTTTAACTTCAGTTTAAAGCCTGGTGATGGATCTGGTTTTAGTCTTTGGCATATGGAAAGCCAGATTTTCCAGCACAATTTATTAAAGATGCTATCTTTGTTAGAGGGAACATGCTTGGCCCCTTTGTCAAAGACAAGGTGACTGTGTTTGGAGTCCTGTCTAAATCCTCTAGTATGTCCCACTTATCCTAAGGTCTGTTTCTTTGCTAGTATCATGATTTTGTCACAGCTGCTTTGTAGTATATTTTCAAGAAAGAGATTATACTTCTGCCTAGCTTTTTTGCTGAATTTTTAAATTTAATTTTAGGTTTTTTTGTATTTTAGAGAAGTGTTTACAGAGCATTCAGGGTCTCACTAGTAGATCAGACTCGCAGTGATCCACCTGTTTACAGCTTCCCAAGTGCTGGGATTACAGGTACACATCAGCACACCCAGTCTCAATTGCAGCCTCAGCATGCCCCATGGGTGGGGCTGGCACGGCAGGCTTGGGGATCGAATCCCTGAGCCCTGCACCTTCGTGCAGGCACTTTAATCTACTGAGCTATTTGACCAACCTTTTTTTTTCTGAATACTGTTTTTGCTATTCTAGGTCACTTCTGTTTCCAAATGAATTTCAAGAGTGTTTGTCTAATGTTATGAAGTATGCTAATGGTATTTTGATTGAGGTTGCATTAAATATGTATAACAATTTGGGGAGTATGGCCATTCTCACTATATTGGGTCTTCCTATCTATCAGAAGGGATATCTTTCCATTTTCTGCTATCCTCTTTGACCTCCTTTTTCAGAAGAGTATAATTTTCAAAGTATAGATTTTTTTAGTTTCTTTGTTAGATTGATTCTCCTAAGTATTTCTTTTCCTTTTTCTTTTTTCTTTTCTTTTTTTCTTTTTTCTTTTTTTTTTTTTTGGTTGCTATTATGAAGGAGGTGGTTCACCTAATTGCAAATTTACTCTCAGTGAGTTTGTTGTTTTCTTATTAGATTTCATTGAATTTTTGAGTGTTGACTTTGTATCTAGCTCCACTACTGAATTTGGTTATTAAATCTTCAGACTTTTGGTGGCTATTTTGGGATCTTCTATTTAGGGTAGCATGTCATTCACAAATAATGGTAATTTAACTCTTTCTTTTCTTATGCTTATTTCTTTTAATTCTTTCTCTTGTCTAATTGATCTGGCTAATGTTCCCAGGACAATATTGAATAGGAGTGCTGCTAGTGGACATTCTTGCATTTTTGTGATTTTTGGAGTGAAAGGTTTCAGTGTGTGACCATTTAGTATGATGATAACTCTTAGTTTGTCATAGTTGGCTTTTGTCAGATTGAGATCATCAAATAAAGATCTTCTACTGTGATTTTATGTAGGGTTTTTATCATGAATGGGTGAGGACATCATCAAAGGCTTTTTCTGCATCTATTGAGAAGATTATGAGATTTTTGTCTTTTGCTACATTAATGTGGAAGAATACACTTATTGACAAAATACCCAACACTCAGTTAAAGGAGGAAAGTTTAATTTGGCTCACCATTTGTACAAGCTTCAGTTTGCAATTGGCTGGCTCCAAGGCAGGCTGGCCTGGTACAGGGACATCACAGAGCAGATGGCAGCAGCAGCAGCAGCTGCCACCTTCTTTGTGTCCTTTTATATTCTATCCAGATTGTAAGCCATTGAGTGGTTCCACTTCCACTCAGATGGAGCACTCAAACTCAGCACCACATTCTCCACCCAAACATCACACACCTGTCATGCAGCACCTCTGAGTAGCCTCATCTATAGCTGTGTGAGGCTTTGTAGGGCATCTAGATGCAAGCCATGCATCAGGAAAATCAATGCCCATTTACTCTGGTCTTGTCAACTTTAAAACACTCAAAGTCTTAACATTCCCAACTGTAATTTGGACTTCCTGTCCATAATAGCAGCATCTGTAACCTATACGTGTTGCAATGAGGTCTTAGGAGGGTGATCTTTAAAAAAACATAGTAGGGGAATAAACCTGAATTTGAAGGTCATTGTCTTTATCTCAGGGTCAGGCAAGCGAAAGATAAGACTCATCTGTCTCATCATTCCTTCTTGTATCACACCGAAGCCCTGTTTAATAAACTGCAGACTTAAGCACAATTCGGGTGTACACACCCTAAGTCTTCATAATGGCCGGGTTTTTGTTGTTGTTGTTGTTGTTTTTTTTTTTTTTTTTTTTTTTTTTTTTTTTTACCTACAATCAATTTCATGGCCTTCAAAAGTGTTGTAATCAATTCTGTGACTCCAAAGATTGTAGATACAGAATGGAGCTGACAAGCACACCTAGAGGATCAGAGGGTTAGTGAAGTGAAGACTTATATACCTTGCACCCAGATCTGAAATGCAGAACCTCTACGGAAAGTGTTACAGTTTTAGACCTTCCCTCCACCCCAAATCCAGACTTTTCCATAGATTTTAATTACAATGCTGAATCTTTGTATTGCTATAAACAATTCAAGCATTCTGGATTATGGGTTATTTTTCTATTATGGCTTTGGGATTATTGTTAAGGATTCTCAATTTAAGCAATATAAATGTAGCCCAAGTAAAGCATAAATTTAAATAATCTTTCAAGAATTCTTACAATGTTAAAACTACTGTACATTTATGGTCAGAAATGTGACTGGGAGGCGGGCGCTCTGAGGGTGAGCCAGTCATTTCCTCCCTGGTTTGTGGCCTAAACAAGAAAAACTACATTAGTGGGGCATGCTTTTCCTAGTCTTCTCCTTGGGGATATGCTTGAAATTTCTAACTAAACAAATAGAGAAATTTATGAAATATGATCGGTCTGTTGCCTTCTAATTTCCATTTCCCCCACCCCACATGAATTTTCTGAAGTTTCTCTTTTTTCACTCTTTTCTTGTATTGATTCTCTCTTTTAATAATAATATAATTTGATTTCTGTCCTGCTATAACTTTATACTTCTGTATTTTGAGCTTCACGTTTTTATATTCAAGTTTCTCTTTCTCCCTGGTGGGCTTCTATTTCATAGAGTATGATGACATTATCTCCTTTGAGTCCAAAATCAACATTTCACTCTTTTCAAAGGTTTCTAATTTTTTGTTTAAATATTAGGCTTGATATATACTAGCTTTTGTCTTTTTGTTTCTTTAATATTGTCTAATGTGAAAAACACTGAAGAGTGAGGCACATGCAGCAGGCCCTAACGCAGATTTTAACCAGAAGTGGAGCTGTGTGGTCGGGAAAGCAAGGCACCCTCCGTTACCCCACGTGGGTTAGCTGCAACCTCCTGGAGAACGTGCGTGTGATATTATTCTATAAATATGAGTAACAGATGCTTCAGTTTGTTGCAGCTGCTTTCCGCCCTGCTGCGGGTGTGCTCAACACGACTTGCTTCAGGGTCCACAGACCATCTTTGATTTGCAATTATAGGTTCTGAATACGTTTACTTCTCGGTAGAAGACATCAGAAATCAGAAAAGGATATTACTCAGAAAAGTCAGCTTAAAAATTCATTCATTATTTGTATTTGCCCAAAATAAAACTATAGCTGATCCATGTTAGCAACTGGCGTGCTAAAGCAGCGTATGACTGCGGACAGGTAGAGGTAGCCAGCTTTAGAGAGTACAAAACGCGCCGTCACCAAGACCCTATGGCAGGCGGCGGGACATGATTGAGCGCAAGTGGGACAAAGCCTAAGGTTCTGTGCAGTGGGGCAAAGAGGGCGGA